TATCATATGGCATGCATTCTCCATAAAGATAATGTTAAACTCGTGGTCAACTTGTAATAAGACTGGAAAGAATTGGTAACAACTGTCCTGTAGTCCAGAGCACAATTACAGAGGAGGCAAACCTGGCCTAAGGAGGAGGCTAACGCAATAGAACATCAGTGTAGAACTAGAGGTGTGGAAATTTCTCTGGATCAGCTTCTTGGAGAAGGCGAATACTCTGATATACAAAGACAATGTTTATATGATAACCAAACCTTAATTCTATGCCACATGGCAGTCATGAATGCTTAAGACAGAATTGAGGAAGCAGGGAAAAAGATTGAATCATTCACAAAAGTTATACAGGGCCCCAGAGAACCCTTCGCAGATTTCTTGCAAAGGCTCTCTTCAGCAGTAAATAGAATGATACCAAATTCAGAAGCTAGACAGATAGTAATTGAATCTTTGGCTTTTGAGAATGTGAATGTAGCATGCAAAAGAATAATCAGGCCATTAAAGGCAAGATCTGCACCCGTGGAGAATTGGATCAAAGATACAATTAATATTGAGTTTCATGACCATGATGATATGTGGATAGGAGAAGTAATTTCAAAAGTTTTGAGGGAAAATGTCAGATGTTTTGGGTGTGGAAAATAAGGTCATTTAAAAAGGGAGTGTAAACAGGGCATTCCTAGAAAGAATGTTTATTCAAGGAACAATGGCAACAGAATACTCCTCCCTTCTGGATTATGCAGAAGGTGTGGTAAGGGTAAACATTGGACCAACTAGATCAACATGGGACATACAAGTCAATCCTTTACCTCTGTCCTCGGGAAATTCCCAGAGGAGCCTCATGCAAGCCCCCACAGAAAATTCAGTTCAGACCTTTCCTTCCATCATAGAAGAAAACCCTTCTCAGAGCAATTAAATAACCAAATGCCTATTGGAATAAACCAGACTGCTCAGGGTGATAAAACAGCTGTAGCAGAAAGAACATAAAATTCAGGAGAAACCATAAAGTGAATTTTTTGCAAACTTCTATAAATGAACAAAGACCAAAATTAAAAATACAAACAATTGACATTTTTCTTGGAAGGTTTAGTAGACACAGGTGTGGATGTGATAATGCACCAGAATTTTGACATCCAAATTGGCCTCTTTAGGAGGTAAGTGTTCAGCTGTTAGGAATTAGAACACTATCTCAAGTGAAATAGAGTGCAAGATGGCTCAAATATATAGGTCTAGAAGGACAGAGAGGAAAATTAAAGCCATATGTGGCTAATATAGCTATGAATTTATGGGGCCGTGATCTATTACAACAATGGAATACTCAGATTAACATTACTCCACCCTCAGAAACAAATCATAAGCTAACATATTTCTGAGGGAATTTATTAGGAGCTATTATTCTAAAGAACGGTCACCAGCCATCCAGATTGTACAAGAACAGGACACAACAACTGATGATCTTCCAAAGACACCAACAGCTCTAACTTTAAAATGGTTAACAGACAAGCCTGTATGGGTTCAGCAATGGCCATTACAACAGAGAAACTGCAGGCTTTAGAAGAGCTGTTGTAAGATCAGTTAAATGCTCATCATATTAAAGAATCAACCAGCTCTTGGAATTCTCCTGTATTTGTTATTAAAAAGAAATCTGGTAAATGGAGAATGGCAACAGACCTAAAAGCAATTAATAAGGTAATTCAGCCAATGGGCTCTCTACAATCTGAAATTCCTTTACCTACTCTGTTAACATAAAAGATGGCCTCTTATACTTATCAATTTAAAAGACTGTTTCTTTTCAATACCCTTACAAGAAAAAGACAAAAAAAGATTTGCCTTCATGGTGCCTACTTATAATAATTCTCAACTGGTTAAGAGATATCAATGGAGGGTCCTCCCACAGGGAATGTTGAATAGCCCAACCCTGTGTCAATATTTTGTACAACAGCCATTGGAAGTGATATGTAAACAATTTCCTAAATCTATAATTTATCATTATATGGATGATATTTTACTAGCTGACTCAAATGCAGATACTTAGAAAGAATGTTTGAAGAAGTAAAAAAAAAAAATGCCTGTTGGGGATTACAAATTGCTCCTGAAAAGATACAAAGAGGAGATTCTATTAATTATTTAGGATATAAAATAGGTCTATAAAAATTAGACCCCAAAAGGTGCAAATTAGGAGAGATCGATTACAGACTCTTAATGACTTTCAAAGATTATTCAGAGACATTTCCCATCTACAAACTATTGTTGGGGTAAAAAATGATGAACTGAGTAATTTGTTCAAAACCTTAGAAGGTGACAAGGACCTAAATAGTCCAAGAGAATTATCAGCTGAAGCTGAGAGAGAATTGGCCTTGGTGAAAAAGAAAGTACAGGAAGAACATGTGGATCATGTGGATCCAAAGCTTGATTGCATTTTGGTTATTTTACCCTCTAGGCATTCTCCTACAGAAATTTTAATGCAGAGGGAAGATATTATATTGGAATGGATGTTTCTACCAAATAAACAGAGTAAAAAATTAAAAACTTGGCCAGGCAGTGGTGGCGCACGCCTTTAATCCCAGCACTTAGGAGGCAGAGCCAGGCGGATCTCTGTGAGTTCAAGGCCAAGCCTTGTCTACAGAGCAAGATCCAGGGCAGGCACCAAAATTACACAGAGAAACCCTGCCTTGAAAAAAAATTAAAAACATATGTGTAAAAAGATCTCTGATTTGATTTTAAAAGGAAAGTTGAGACTTGGTCAATTAGCAGGAATAGACGCAGCAGGAATTGTCGTACCTTTAAATAAGGAGGACATTGGCAAATAATGAGCAGAAAGTGAACCTTGGCAAAGAGCTTGCAATAATTTTTTGGGAGAGATTAACAGCAAATATCCCAAAAGCAACAGAATTGAATTTATAACTGAGCTGATTGGATTTTTCCTCACATTGTACGGGAAACACCCATATCTGGATCTCTTACATTTTATACATATGCAAACAAACAAGGAAAGGCAGGTTACAAATCAGAAAATTTAAGTAAAGTGGTTCAAAGTCCTTATAATTCAGTTCAAAAATCAGAATTATATGGTATTCAAAAAGCTGATTCTGTAATCACGCATTTGCTAGAAGTTATAGCCGTCATGGGTATACCTGCACAAATTAAAACTGATAATGCTCTAGCATATGTCTCTGGTAAAATGAAACAGTTTTTTTTTTTTTGCTAATTACAATATAAAGCATATCACAGGTAATCTTATACACCAAGCAGTTATAGAAAGATCAAATCAGATTCTAAAGGATAAAATAAATAAATAGAGAGGGGTAACAAAAACCCCCAGAAATAGATTATATAATGCTCTATTAACTTTGAATTTTCTCAGTGCTAATGAGAAAGGAACAACAGCTGTGGAGAGACATTGGATAATAGAAAAAACTACAGAATTAAATCAGCCTATATACTTTAAAGATGTGCTGACCTCAGAATGGAAACCAGGATATATGTTATGTTGGGGACAAGGTTTTGCTTTTGTTTCTACAGAAGATAAGCTGTGGATGCCATCAAAATTGATATGAAGCCACCCACAAGCCAAGCAGAATAGGCAGCCAAATTCCAAAAACACCAGCAATTTCCAGAATTTAAAATCCTGAATCATGACAGGACATTGGCAGAATTCAAGTTTATCTGATATATGGAATACTCACACCGAATGTGAGGTTGAGCTGTAGGCCTTGTGTACATCCTACTTCACAAATGAGTCTGAAGATGATGCCCCAATGTGCAGAGAAACCCTGGGTGACTGTCCAGGCATCTGGCTGTTTCTGTCAACTCACATTTTTTTGGAAGTTACTTATTTGTACTTCCTGTTTTACTAGGTAATATTATTTCCTTCTTGGGTCTCTGAAGGAGTTGAAGATTAGATAGTTGTAGTAACAATTTTCTTTGTTAAGAAATTTCAGAAAAGAAACTCATTAAGAGGTGTTAAGTGTATAAGTTTGAAAGACATCATAAGATAGTTTTCTGTTGGTAATACAAGTTAGGATAGATAGTGAATTAGGTACATTTACCAAAATAGGATAGATAATGGAATATTTTTTCTGAATTTGTCAAATGCAAATGGGATAGACATTGTTGATATATTTATTGCTTGTATATATTGTGTATAGTTATTGTACTTATTGTGTATGTTTTTCTTGTATTAGTTATAACTTTTTTTATTTTTTATTTTTATTAGACAAAAAAGGGAAAATGTCATGATATTTGTGCTGAAATGTGGTGATATTTTATTTGTATGTTAATAAAGTTTGTCTGGAGATCAGAGGAAATAGCAAGCCATTAAGTAAACACAAAAGTCAGGCAGTGGTAGCATATGCTCTTAATCTGATCACATGACAGGCAGGGTCTCTGTGTGTCCAAGGACATACTAGGGAACAGCCAAGCATAGTGACACACGCCTTTAATCCTAGGACCAACCATAGAGACCTGGAGGTCTGTACAGACAGGCAATGACAAGGAAATGAGGTAGCTGGGCTAAGAGCTAATGAGAGGGCAGAACAGCAAGGCAATAAAGGCGTGCGTGGGTAGACAGGAAGTCACTCCCTTTTGGAAGCTGTAGAGCTGGAGAGGTAAGGTCGGTGGCTATCACTATTTCCCTGATCTTTAAGGCTTTCATCCCTATACCTGGCTCCATGGTTTTTTATTTAATAAGACCATTTAGAAATTCATCTACAGTCACCCTCACTCATATAAGCACCCCCTCATTCGTTCTCCTGTAAGGAACCCCAGTAAACTCACTAGTGCACCAAACCAGGCTTGGGTGGATTCATTTCTTCAGTCTGTCATTAGTGTCCAATATGGAGAGATACTTGTTCCCACCTCCCCAGAGAGAGTCACAACATACACCCTGAGAAGGTCCCCTCTTTCCTTCCCTCTGTGGAACCCCAGAGTCCCAGTTCTTCAATGACTAGACAGTCTTGCTGTGCAATGGGATGACCAATCGATTTACCAAGTAGGCACAGAACAAGGCGTGACGTGGCCATTAGATTTTAATCCAGGTCTGTGTTGGCTCACACACCTCCGGGGGCTAGTGTGAGGCTGCCACGGATGGCTAGAGCTAAGGATGAGACAGTGGAGAGGGAACAGGTCGCCTTGGGTCCAGAGGGCTCAGCTTACTTCACCAGGAGGACCTGATTCTTCTTGCCTTGGATGGGACGGAAGACCACCTTACAGAGAAGCCCTCCCACAACCAGCACAGAGACCATCAGCAGGACGAGCTGCAGGCCCCTGAGGACCGGGTCTGCCTTGCCGAACTGCCGCTGCCCTGGGCGTTTGGATTGACTCTCAGCCCCCAGCAGATCCACGGAGGCTATGGGGTTGAACTGGGCTATCAGTTCCTGCTGCACAAAACATCTGTAAACGGCTGGCTGGAAGATCTGCAGCTGCCGGCCACCGCTGTACAGGTCCATGAAGCTGCTGAGGTCCTGGCCCGAGAGCTGCTCCCGCCAGGTCAGGGGGATGCTGTTGGCTTCCCAGCGCACAGGCCTGCACGGGAGAAGCATATGGTCAGACTTTGGGGTCCTGGAGAGAACGGGGCGCTGAAGGCAGACCACAGCTCCGCGGAGCACTGTAAAAGTTACCAGGGGGTGCTGGGAGGTGTGGCCTGGGAAGCTTCTAGACCGCTACCTCTGGCTGGCTGGGTAGCCTGAGCCAAGGCCACTAGCTTCTCGAGTATCTATTTCCTCATCTGACCACGGGCCTATAGTGGCGGCACCTGCCTCGAGGTAATTTGAAGGATTTGGAATACGGTCCCCTCCTCTTATAATGCCCAGCCACACCGGTGTGTTAGGCTTTCTCAACCTCGCTGCCTGAGCGCCTCCATCTCTGCTGTGCCCTCCACCTGGAAGACTGTTGCTCAAAGCACAGGGCAGTCTCATCTCCTCCTGTCTTGGCCAGAGTGACCAGTTCTCAGAAGGGCCTCTCCCTGATTGGTTCCCCACTTAGGATTTTAATCCCCCCCCCCCCACACACACACCTGCCATCAGCCCTGAGCAATGTTTAAAATACTGCATTTCAAGTTAGATGTGATGGTACCCACCAGGGATCCAGCACTCAGAAGGCTGAAGCAGGAGGATGGCAAGTTTGAGGCTAGCCTGGGCTACATAGAGAGAACCCCCACTCTCAAAAAGAGAACACATTATTTTAAAATGTCCTGTTGTCTTATTTGTCCTGAAATAAAAATATAGTTAATTTTTCTGAGCAAGCAGGAGGAGGCTATGTTCGTCACTGTTTCCTGGGTGCCTAGAACATTACTGAGCAAATGAGTGAGTCGGGTTTTCATGTCCAATGAGACTAGAAGACAGAGGGGATCCTGAGCAGACGGTGTTGTTACAGGGCCTCTGTCGAACATGACACTTTTCAGACAAGATCCTGTGACCAGCAGCCCTCTTACACATCACAATTAGTCCACGGGGCCCAGGCTAGTCTGGAGTTGGATAGTGTCCACCTGAAATCTATGCACTTCCCAGAATCTCGGAATGCAACCCATACTCGGAAACTGGCTTATTGTCAATGTGTTACGATGACATCATATTGGGGTAGAGTGGCCTTGAGGTCCAACGTGTCTGGTGACCTTTTGTAGCCAAGACAGATAAAGATACCCTGGATGAAGGCCAAGAAATGGTGGAGGTGGGGGTGGGGAATGAAGCTTCCAGTCCGGGAACGTCAGAGGGTCTCTGGTTCCCACAGAAGCTGGAAAAATCAGGGATGGACGGTACCCAGTACCTGAGAGGAAAGGCAGCCTCCTGACAGCTTGCTTCTGACTTCCAGGCTCCAAAGTAGTGGAGAATTGTTGTTGTTGTTGTTGTTGTTGTTGTTGTTGAGATGGGTCTCACTAGCCTTGACTAACCTGGAACTCATAGGGATCTACCTGCCTCTGCCTCCCAGTGCTAGGATAAAGGCATTACTACCACATCCAGGCAGTTCTATTGTCTTTTTTTATTTTATTTTTATTTATTTATATTTTATGTATGAGTGCTCTTCGTGTATAACTGCAGGCCAGAAGAGGGTATCAGATCCTATTATAGATGGTCATGAACCACCATGTGGTTGCTGGGAATTGAATTCAGGACCTCTGGAAGAGCAACCAGTGCTCTTAACCACTGAGCCATCCCTCCAGCCACTATTCTTTTGTCTTAAGCCACCCCAAGTCTGTGGTACTTCAGGCTGCGAGCAAATACAACTCCTGTGTTGGTCAGATTTCTAATCAGGGGACAACACATTGGAAAAACACATGAAGGAAGAGAGAAACATTTGGCCCATGGTTTTGGAGTTTTCTCAAGATTGGCCAGATCCATTGCTTTGGGTCTGAGGCAAGACAGGATATCATGACAGACAGAGCAGGTAGTCAAGGAGGCTATTGACATCATGAAAGCCAAGAAACGGAAACGGGAAGGAGGTAGACACAAGTCTATCTTTCTCAGGCATACCCCACTGACCTACTTCCTCAGGTCACTTTTTCTACCATCTCTCCACAGTGCCATTAAATTATGACTCCGTCGAGGAGTTAATCTCAGGATCCAATCCCTTCCAGAAACCCTGTCAGCTGGTGAGCGAACCTTCAACACTTGAGCTCTTGGGAAGGGGGAGAGACCGTTCGTATCTAAAGTGACAAATCACTTTGTCCTCCAACAGCTCATGCTCATCTCATAAAGCACATTCATTTAATTTGTACCCAACCGTTACGTGTGTGTTCGTGTATGTATGCATGTATGCGTACATGTACAGAAGTGTGTGTACATGTATATATATATATGTATATGTATATATATATGTATATATAGACGTGCACATGGAGGCCAGGGGTCCATGTCTCTACCTTGATTTTTTAAGGCTTTATTTATTATTTTTTATGTGTATGAGTGTTTTACCTCCATCTGTGTGTGTGCACCACGTGTGCCTGGTGTCCACAGATGCTAGAAGAGATCGCTGGATCCTTTGGAACTGGAGTTACAAACAGTTGTGGGCAGCCATATGGGTGCTGGGAACTGAACCTGGGTCCTACGCAAAAGCAGCAATTGTTCTTAACGGCTAAGCCATCATGTGTATGTGTCTGTGTATGTGCATGCATGTCTGTGTATGCACAGCATGCACAGTGCAAGAGAGCATGTCCCTCTGGAGCTAGGGTGACAGGCAGTTGTGAGCCACCAGACATGGCTGCTAAGAATCAAAGTCGGTCAGGTCCTCTGAGAGAACAGTAAGCACTCTTTACCATTGAGCCACTTCTCCAGCTCCCCTGCCTTTATTTCTTGAGATAGGGTCTCTCAAGTCTGCTAGGCTGGCTAGCCAGTGAGCTCCGGGGATCCCTTTCTCTGCCCTCCCAGCTTCCAGGGCTGGAGTTGCAGGTGCATGCTGTCACGCCTGGTGGGTGTTGGGGATCTGATCTCAGGTTCTCACACTAATCCAGCCGCCATGGGTAGGTGGGTCCTCCAGCTACAAATGGCGCCCAACGGCTCGAGTTTCCACCTTAAACCTGAGAATATTTAATAACCAATTCTAAACAGAGCCAAAACCAGGTTCCTGCTTCTTGTCTCATATGAGCAGCTAGACGCCGCAAAACGCAGGTTTGATCACTGGCGGGTTCCTGGCGTGTGCGTTTGACCGGCAGTATGGCGGGAATGAGGGGTCTGCCAGAGGCACATTATGCTGTGTAGTAGATTTAGTCTTTACTAGTATTTAAAAAAAAAAAGGTTTCTGGGCTACATGCTGCTTTGATAAAAGCTTAGACCCACTATTTCTGAGACTTGATGACTCCCAGAGATGGC